CCCCCCAACTGTGATGTAATTCACATAAATCTCATATGAAATTGTGGAAGAAAACAGACACACCAACGCCAGGAAAACTGCTCCCTAGCTTTGCCACATCAAATGGAGAAATAGGACACGAGTTTGTTTGTGGTATAAAAGGATTGTTTACATGCTGACACATGTCTGGATGGCTTTCCAGATAGTGACTTGAGCAGGCCTGGGACAGGTGCAGTGTGATTTAGGAACGATCATGTTGTTGCTTTACTGCAGGTGATACCCACTGGCAGGACGGTTTGAGGGCCAGGGCCTTGCACCTGCTGGGCACAAATACGCCCTCAAGTGCCTGTACAGCAAACAGAAATACAAAGTGAGACTGGCGGTGAGAAGAACATGAGAGAAAAGCAACAAAGGAGGCTTGTAGAGAGCGTGCGTGGGCCCAGGAGCCCTCGCTGGAAGGCGATGGAACGTCAAAGACGTGGCAGAGGTGAGGGGATAGGAGGATGTGGATGGGCAGGGCATCCTCAGGAAGGTCAGCATGCATGCAAGGCCCAGACAGGCGCGGCTATGGACCAATGCAAGCTGGGGTCCAAGAAGAGGCCTGGACACCAGTGTGAGGCGCGCTACTATTCAGGTGTCCTGAAAGGAGGCCATGGATTGAGCCCTGCAGGAAGCTCAAACACCCCAAGTTCCCAGGACAGTGCCCTCCAGCTCTCCAATGGGAGAGTCCAAGAGGAGACTCAGATAAGTGGAAGGAAGGCAGCAGCAGAGGTCAGCCTCAAGGGCAGGAAAAGAAAGCATTTTTCAATGAAGAGAAAGATGGGGCCAAGGATTTAGCTCCACGGTCCTGCTGCCTGCCTCTCAAGCGCAAGGTCCCAAGTTCGATCCCCAGTAGAAAAAAAAGAAAACAAGTGAAAGATTGGTAGAGCAGCTGAGAAGGCTGGGAAGATTGGGGGGCCCAGCCTGTGGCCTGAGTAAGAGGGGGACTGTGCTGAGGTGCAGGAGGGACGGAGGGAAAAGCTGGAGCGTGGTAGCTATAGGGAGGCATTGGCAGGGTTTGTGAGGACGGGATGAGGGGGACACAGGGCAGAGGCGCGGGCAGAACCCATTTTTCCCATGGTCCTGCCTCCCCGCAGGACAATAGGAAGAAGGATCTCGGGCTGAGCTAAAGCAATGAGAAGGACAGGACGTTAAGGTTTGGAGCATCCTGTCCTCTCCCTTTTATGTTTTCCCCTCCATGAGTCTTCAGAAAGAGACTTTCCAGTCTCACTGGAAAGATCCAAGTCTACTCCATCACCACAACTAAGAAATCCTGCCTTAGATCTGGAGAACATGGTAGACAACTCATGAAACTTCCTCCACAAGGTCGGAAAAAAACCCAGAAATGTACTTCTGGCTTTTAATCTAAGAAAGTGTAAAATATACCTTTATATTAATAGCAGCATAGTGTTAGAATAATTTTCTCAGAAAATTTAGAAGTAGAAATGATTAATAAATGCTTACCTATATTTCCTCCAATTTCATATAACCTTTGGTTCTGAATCTGAATACATTCTGATGAGCCACGACTAAAAAGACAGGAAGGCAGCATAATTTTAATCCCATTTCATGCTCTAAAGGGAGATTTTGTATTAGACAACCCAGCAACAAATAATTCACTCTGCCTTGATGAAATATATGTCACAAAACCCTGCTATGACTGAGGTTAACAACTTTTTTTTTTCCTGTTTGACTTGGACAGGAAGCAGAAAGCTGGGGAGGCTGGGAGGGCTCCGGGCAGGAATGAGGCCTGTAGCAGGCAGTCCGTTCCCGCCATGCCCACCGGGCTCCTCACTAGGCCCCATCAGGCCTGGCTGGCGAGCAGCTGCTGTGTCCTGGCTACAGCTCTTGGCGCACAAGAGAAGTAAGGTTCACTGGGGCACTTGCTGAACACTGCTGAAAGGCAAACTGTCCTCAGCCTGCAGGTTTCTTAGGCTGCCGAAGGCTCTGCAAGCTGTCTAAGGCTGACTTTTCACAAAACTGCCTTATGAAGAAAAGCAAGTCAGAGAAAGTAACTGCTCTGTTAATTTTGTGCACCCCAAACTAGAATGTTAGGGTAGAAGGATCTCAAAAACCAGCACTGATCTCCACCTGAATTTGGGTAAGACTTTGAGCTTGGTTTTTTGATCAGACTGTCCTGGCCTTTTGGTCGTGTGGAAGCAGGACTTTGAGCTTGGTTTTTTGATCAGACTGTCCTGGCCTTTTGGTCATGTGGAAGCAGGATGTGTGCCCTACTTTCCTGTTTGTTTAATCAACCTTCTTAGATAATGAAAGATTTGCTGGAGAAGTAAGATAATAGATACACGATCTGTGCACCCTTTACCCAGCTTCTCCCAGTAGGAAAAGCAGTGAAACTCCCCTTCAATTTTAAGACCAAAACATCTGAGTTATTCTGTAAAGACGCCGGAGGTTCCCATCATAAGGACCCCCACTGCCCTTTCCTGCCTCTCCCCCAGCTAACACAGCCTGACCTATGGCAGCCCTGCCCTGGTCCGCGTTTCTGTAAATGCGTTGTCTCACAGATGTTGTGCGAATGCAAACGGCGGGTGGGGACCTTCTACGCTGCTCACACCCACCCACTCGGCACAGGTCCTCAGCGATGCCCCGAGTTGTTTCCACTGCTGACTGCTACGCCCTGGCTGGCGTGGATCAGTCTGCTCAGGAATGCACTAGGGGTGGGGACCTTCTGCGCTGCTCACACCCACCCACTCGGCACAGGTCCTCAGCGATGCCCCAGTTGTTTCCACTGCTGACTGCTACGCCCTGGCTGGCGTGGATCAGTCTGCTCAGGAATGCACTTGCTGAAGGACAGCTAGGTTTTATCCAGTTTCAATTGTTTAAATAGAGCTATTGTAAGTTTGTGTAAAGGTTTTTATGTGGGCATAGTCTTCATTTCTTTGAGATAAATAGGAATTTGGAATAGGAATAAATGAGAATTTGTAATAGGAAAGCTGGATTATAGGACAGTTGGATACTTAACCTTGTAAGAAACTATCGAACTGTTTTGCAGTGACTGAACTATTTTACATTCCTGCCACCACCGTATGCATGAGTGGCTCGCTTTTTCCGCCTCTGTGCTTGGTGTTGTCAGTATGTTTGACTTTAGCGCCCTTGTAGTTGTACGGTGCCCATCAACGTGCTCTTGATTTGCGTTTCCTTACTGGCTAACATCGGGTATCTTTTCCATGCGTTGTCATCTGCGGATTGCCGGTGAGATGTCATCTGCTCGTCTCTGCTGTGGTTTGGCTCCCGACGCTTGTGGGAGGTGGTGGAAGGTTTCAGACAGGAGGACAGCAGACGAGAAGGAACGCAAGCAGAGTGCCAGCTTTTCCTACCTCCTCCCCAGGGCCTGGCTGGGGTCAGTGGTCCTATGGGAACAGGATGCTGATTGGCTCTGCTCCAACCTGCCTCGTTCCTCTTTGAGGATGGGGTGGGGATGGGAAGCCCAGCTTCTATGAGTCCTTAATACACAGAGGGAGGGAGCAGAGCCTGGGGCTGTTCACAAAATACAGGGTGTGTTTAAATACAAAAAATAAATCACAGTAAAGACGCATCGTCACTAATCCTCAAACTCCTCCCTCTCACTTCGAACACACTGATCCCACTGTTCCTGCCACTTTCTGGAGCAGTTCTGGAGTCCTCTTTCGGGAGTGTCTGCAAGGCGTGATCAAACACAGAGAGAAAGAGGCTGCCAAGCGCCATCTGATGGAAAGGCAGGCTCCCAGAAACACATGGTGCATCCTCCTCCACCTTAGTCACTGGATCCAGTACTGTGTGACATCCGGCTCTTCCCAAAGTCGCGACCGTGAAGAGGAAATGCCGTGAATTGATTCTCGACATCGAGGCAGCCATGATAGCGGAACTAAAGCCACTCAGGAAAGGGGACTCCTGAAGTGCTTCGGAAAGTGGCCAGGACGATGGGATGAGTGTGTCAGAAGTGAGGGCAAGTAGTTTTGAGAGGGAAACATCACAATGAGTCCTTTACTGCAATAAATTATTAAACATGTAAACACTCACTGTATTTTATGATCACCCCCCATAGCCTGTCCGTACACGTGCTTGCTGGGGGGTTTTCAGTGTCATGCCAGTGGAGTAGAGATGGAGGTTCGGCTAGCTGGGAATGCTACTAGGATTGGGAATCCGTTTCTCTCCTGGTTCTTCTGTGACTCACACAGCCGGTGACACTACAGTGGTGTGCCGTTTCTTCTCAGTGTCTGGTTGGAAGAGCAGGTTCTCTGTGGCTAGGCCAGTCCTTTCTGGGGGTACAGGCTTTGATTGGGAGCCTCCTTTCATGTGTGCCTGGTGTGAAGCCCAGGACTCAGTAGGAAGCTTCTGGAACTTCCTGCGGAACTGTTCCAGAGGCTTCTTCTTTCCTCTGCTTGTGCTGGGTTAGGCCCAAGAGGCAGGACCTGGTAGGAACGAGGCTTCTCCTCCCTTCAGGGACTGCATCCAATGTGCAGTGAGTAGACAGTCAGAAAGCAAGCCTCTGACAAAACAGACAAGCTTTTAAACTGAGCCACTGTTCTAGTAAGAGGCTGGACTCCACGGCAGGTTCTTTTGAAGAAGTTGTTTCAACGGATTTGAGTCAGTGGTCAATGGTTGTAATTTGTTTTCATTAGAAGCATTTTCTTTCTACAAAAGATCTACTTGAGATTAGATGTTGTCTGGTAACACAAAAGAAACCAGGGCCCTGTTGGACACCCAGACCCTTAGAATAGTTTTCCAGTCCTTAAGTGGCTGCCTCACTGTAATTCTTGGCAGGACTGTAAGTGTCTGGTCAGCAGCAGAGAGGAGTAAGTGCCCAGGTTGACAGCTCCTATTGGCCTCTGGCTACTCTTCTGTATGCAAATATATCCGGATACATCTGCATGTACTCACATACACAATGCACACTGATCTTAAGTATAGGACCTGACAAAATTTCAAAGTGAGCACCCCATGTGGCCAACTCTCATGTTGAAAGAAAGAACTCTTGGGATCCACTGACCATGCCTTCTGAGGTACTACATCTTCCACGCCTGCCCCAAAACACCATTCTGACGTCTAACATCTCACACGGTGGATTACATTAATTTAAATCCTGAAATTATACTGAAATAAACTTAAGAAATAGTGCAATGGATTCTTTGTACTCTATGCTGAGGGTTTACCGGTGCAGTGTGTTGCAAACCTGGGGTATAACGTCACAGTCAGGATGGTGACATTGTCAGACCCACCGATCTTATTCCAGTTTCCCAGTTTCACTTGTGCTCGCTGGTGTGGGTACTACGTTCATCTCAGCGTTAGAGATGCTGGTCTATCCAGGGCCAGCTCCATGCATACCCTCACCCTGCCCTTTGCAACCAAGCCCCATCCTCCTACAATCACCCTTTCCCAACCCCTGGTAACCACTACTTTTCATTCCATTTATAAAATTTTGTCATTACAAAAATGCTATCTGAGTATTGTATGAATGGAATCATGTCACATGCATTCTTTTGCTCAACAGCTTACATCTTTTAACATGACTGGAATGGTCTTTAAGGGTGTCCATGAATCTTACTAGAGACCGTCACACTACCTGCTTTCCAGCTGACGAATTTAAATGAGTATTCATTATTATTATTATTATTTGGTACTGAGTATAGAATTTGGGTCCTTGTGCTTGCGAGGCAGGCGGCGGCGCCACTGAGCTAAATCCCTGGCCCTAAATGAGTATTTTTTAACACTTGAAATCCCCAGGGAAAATGTTTATCCTTGAGCAAGCATGTCTAGACAAAAAATACTGTGATCTATTCTTTTTTTATAGTTACTTATGGCAGATGTGCAAAAGAATCGTATCATTCTGATTTTAAGGATCATTAATAGTACATTTTAAGGAAAATTCCAGCTACGATGTCCATGAAGGAGCCTAGACTAATGGTATTCCTGGAAACCTATCACAATGACTACAAAACTAACTTGCTGTATTTTTCATTTGAAAACTCACTAAGGCTGTGTGAAGATCCCCATTTGTAGATATTCCTTAAGAGAAATGGCTTCTGCTATGATCAGTTCTATTGCCTAACTGTGTTTCAAACTGGTAATCTACTGGTGAGGTCCCTCAAGCCGCAGATCTGTCCTTTCACAAGGCAGCCTCGCCAGTGCCTGGGACCTCTATTCAGTGCACTTACCTGTTCTCAAACTGGAACTTGGCCAGTATGTCTTTGGCTGTGGTGTGACTGGTCAGTTGAATGGCCATGGACACCTTGGAGAAAAGCGGGGCATGGACCCTTATGACTCCTTCCGGCACATCAGACTGCCAACGGGAAGAATTCAGGACATGTGGTCAAGTTAGTGACAGTGGCTCTGGGAGCGTGCAGGACGTGGTCAGTGGCTCCGGAAGCAGGACAGCGTCCACGCCAGTGTGCACACACCTTGGAGCGCTGCCTCCCTTTTCACCAGGAGACTAACTAGTGACGGAGTTAGCCTGGGGGCTTTGCTTTCGCTACACACCGAAGCCTTCCTAAAATGCCTTAGAGTCACAAGAGGAGTACAATAGTTCTGGTAAAAACGGAACACTTCTATCAAGGTCTTTCCTAAACAATGCTATACCTAAGCCTACTTTAATCAAAATTCTGTACTTACACAAATTTTAAGAAGAACAACTTTTGAAAACTTTAGGGATCAGTTAGAAACACTGTCGTTTTTAGCTGGTAGGTGGGCTGGCCCACCCCAGGGGACTAGAGTGCTGTCCTAGGCAGGCACCAATCACACCACGCAGGGGATGAACTTCCACTGTCTTAAACTGCCTTGCTGGTACCTTGCTATGGGAACCCCAGGAGAGGAAGCCAAAATGAATTTACACAGGGTCAGCTCCTGTTGTTTCTCTAATATTCCCAGCACCAGAGAATGGAAGTTGAGGGATTTGGATGTGGGTGGGCAGAGTTCATGGCCTCTGCACCCCTAAACACTCCTCCAGTCTCTCCTGGCTCCATCCTCCCAGCTCCCCAGATGCCTCTGTAAGATGAACCCCATTCTTCTGTTCTTAGGGCTATGAGGGCGACAATCCCACCTCCCCTGCACCTCCAGGTGGCCATCACACTGGTCTGCAAGGACACTTGACTGCACACTTGGAACCATTAGTCCAGTCCTATAACCCAGCTTTGCAGGCCACACTCAGAGGACTACACTGGAAGGTCAGATCTTGGCCACATGAGCATGCAGTAGCTGCAGCTTGGTCACTGCTTACCTGAGTTAGTTACCTCCTACCTCACTAGGGAGGGAGCTACTATTTGGGGGCAAAGGGAGTTGTCTGCTCACCATTCTTCTGGCTGAAGGTGATTTTTGTAGTACCTTTGAGGCCTTTGGGCTTGAAACCTAAAGAAAACATGTTTTATCTTTAGGATTCATGTTGGGAAAGCAAAGCTAATCTCATGTCTTTATGCAATACATTTTGGCATATTTATAAATTATTAAATGTACATACTTATTCTACAAATGTACTTCATTTGGGGAAAATGATGCATGGATACACTTACTCATGGAAGCACAAACTGCAATAGCAGAAGAGATGACATCTAACTCTTCAGCCACCTGAGCTGATTAAATAAATAACTGCGTGTCTGTGGAAATGCGGCAACAGTGTAGAGAAGCCCTTTGTGAACTGACATGGAATCCCCACTGCGATTTCTTTCACCAAACTGACATGGAATCCCCACTGCGATTCCTTTCACCAGTAAGCAGACAAGGGACAGTGTTTCCTGCGGGCCCCCGTCATGTAAAACAGGGAAAGACTCACTCAGGGATGTCTGGGAAGACACCGGGGACCTGGGCCCCAGCCCCATGGGTGTCAAAACCCACAGAAGCTCAATTTCATTGCACAAAGTGACATCAGATTTGCACATGACCCATGCGCTCCTCCTGTACACTTTACATCATTTCTAGATGACTTAATGAAACTTATTACAACATAAATGCTGCAGTGTGTATTTTAGGGAATAATAAGAAAAAGTATCTGCACATGTTCAGTACTGATGCCATCTTTTTTCGTGTGCATTTTCAACCCACAGCATGGAACCTGTCAATATTAGTTTCCCTACTTTCTTCTGGGTGTACAGGTGGGGCACACACCTGCACATCCTGTGTCACGTGTCCTGTTTCTGTGAGGGAAAGTCAGGGGTGGCTAATTTTTATTCTGTAATCTTTCCAGGTTTTAAAGTTTGCACAGTTTTAAAGTTTTCTTACGAACTGTCTTTTCCAATAAAATGAAGAAGTATAAAACAGCATATTGATACAACTAAAGAAAGAATATTTTTAATGTGTTTGCTTCCCATGGTGTTTATAACCTTTAAGTTCTATCTTGATGCCATTCACAATCAAAACATTGAAACAGCTGGCATTCACACCCAGTGTGCACTCTGCGAGTCTATCCTGGTGACAGCTCGAGGACACAAGGATCATGACTTTTCCTTCCAATGTACAGGACAGAAAACTGAGGCCCAGAGAACGAACTGAGTCTGCCCAGCTCACAGGAGGGGCCGCTGCCACCCTGACTCCGTTTGTCTCCACACATTCCGCGCTGGCGTCAAGGGCCACCATTCCAGGATGGAAATGGCAAAGACCATCAGCGTCACCTTCTTCAGAAAAGGTGGCCAGGAGGGAGGGAGCCCTAGGGCAAGAACAGTGGCTGAGAGCAGAGAGCCCTGTGGTGCTTTCCCTTCTGCTTCCCCCGCCCCTGCTCCCGGCTCTGCCCCAGTGCAGTGTGGGAGGGAGCGGAAGGGACTCAGGACCAAGGGCTCCTCGCTTGACTTGGACAGCTCTGACCATGTGATGTGGGAAACACTCACAGGCAGCTGCTGTAGTCTGGCTCCCAGCTGGAGTGGACAGGAGCTGGGGGAAAGGGAGCAAGGCTGCAGCTGGAGGGGAGCTGGAAGTCAGGGCTTCGCAAAGCTGGTGACATGGTTCTGAGAATCCAGAGGGACACTGTCAGGCCAGGGCTGAGCACAGAGAAGACCTCCAAGAGTGAGGACTGCCACTGCCAGCTGACTTCCAGCCTCTGGTGGGCAGGGGGCGTGGAGTCCTAGACAGGCTGGCCCAACACACACCCAGGGTGCATTGCCGAAGCCGGGAGAGGTTCTGGTCCCAGGCACGGAAGAACAACACTATCTGATGACAGGCTAAGGACAAGCTGACGTGCAAAGGCCTCAGGTTCACACAGGAGAACACAGAATGGACAAATCAGTTCAGCCCCAAAGCCACTGGGCAGAGACAGACGATAAGCAACGGCAGCACACCTGAGGGAGGGAGGAATCTGACTGCCATGCGGCCACGTTGTAATATTTAGAAAACATAATCCAGACTCATCAAAACTACCGCAAAGGGCAACTGGGACAGCATCAAAAGAACAGTACCTAAGGAAGTCCATAAAATCCTTCAAATGAGTCATTTTCAATTCTCAAGGAACTAAGGAAACCACGTCTGTGGGTGGGGGTGCACAGCATTGTGAAGATCCTCAGAGCCACGGACCTATCAGTTTTAATGGCTACAATGGTGAATTTTATGCAAACTTTTTCTAAATCAAAACAACTTTTTTTGGTTCTCCTCAACGTGAAGTCACTTTTTGTAAGGAATGAAGGGTGCAGCCCCTGACTGTGGATGAGGTATGTCAGTCAGCAGACCCCTCCTGCCTCCCTCCCCCAAAAGCCAGGTAGCTCAAATGTCACTTCCTCCATGCAGTCACCCAAAGCTCCCCACACCGGCCACACACCTGCATCCTTGGGGCTTGACAGTGTCTGCACAGTTGGTCCGGTGCCCACCCAGACTGCTGGCACCATGACCCTTTGACAAGTCTCTCTCCTGAGTTGGGTGTGAGCTCTCTGAGAGGCAGAGGTGTCTGCCTCATCCCCAGGAATGGATACAGTGAGTAAAAAGTCTCTTCTTCCCTGTGTACTTGATACACCTGGAAACAGACTGCCCTGAAGTCTAGAACTAAACTGCCGACTTTCAGATTTTGTGGCAACTCTTTTGCTGTTCCAGTGAGTTCTTACCAGAATCTCAAACAGTCTTCATCAGATAATTATTTCAAGAACTTTAGCCAAAAAGCACATAATTCAACATCATGGGAAACACTGTCACAGACACACTTCACAATGTTGAAAGGCACAGGATGGGATACATTTACTTGGTCTTAAATTGCAAGCTAAGCTCCCGGCACCTCCCCCAGAGGAAGGCAGAGGGTGGGCCTGCTTTCTGCACTCACCTCCCGCTCCATGGTCTTCCTTCTGAGCAGTTTCTTCACACTTGGGAGCTGCTTCTTCAACAACATCGTGGCCTCGTTCATCCTGCGGACTTGGGTGATGAGGAAAGAAGGAACCTGGAGAAGAAAAATAGCTTAGCTAAAGGGAAAACACTTGCCTAAGACCTCCCTCAAAAATTCTGTCTTCCAGGATGCTAACTTCTCCTGGCCACCCAGCATCTTGGAACCAGGAGTGGGGGCATTTATTCTTGTAAAGGTTGGAAAAGTCAAAAAGAATTTCTGTGTAATGGGGAAACCATGTTTGAGAGGAGCTCTTAAAGACTCTCCAGCCATGTCGAGATTGGCTTCTAGGATGCCAGGGTCAGTTCTATAATAAAATGACGGAACTTCCTCCCAGATACTCAGGATCATTTCTGGATGACTTGTAATACCCACTACCATGGGATTATTCTGTAATCTTTCCAGGTTTTAAAGTTTGCACAGTTTTAAAGTTTTCTTACGAACTGTCTTTTCCAATAAAATGAAGAAGTATAAAACAGCATATTGATACAACTAAACAAAGAATATTTTTAATGTGTTTGCTTCCCATGGTGTTTATAACCTTTAAGTTCTATCTTGATGCCATTCACAATCAAAACATTGAAACAGCTGGCATTCACACCCAGTGTGCACTCTGCGAGTCTATCCTGGTGACAGCTCGAGGACACAAGGATCATGACTTTTCCTTCCAATGTACAGGACAGAAAACTGAGGCCCAGAGAACGAACTGAGTCTGCCCAGCTCACAGGAGGGGCCGCTGCCACCCTGACTCCGTTTGTCTCCACACATTCCGCGCTGGCGTCAAGGGCCACCATTCCAGGATGGAAATGGCAAAGACCATCAGCGTCACCTTCTTCAGAAAAGGTGGCCAGGAGGGAGGGAGCCCTAGGGCAAGAACAGTGGCTGAGAGCAGAGAGCCCTGTGGTGCTTTCCCTTCTGCTTCCCCCGCCCCTGCTCCCGGCTCTGCCCCAGTGCAGTGTGGGAGGGAGCGGAAGGGACTCAGGACCAAGGGCTCCTCGCTTGACTTGGACAGCTCTGACCATGTGATGTGGGAAACACTCACAGGCAGCTGCTGTAGTCTGGCTCCCAGCTGGAGTGGACAGGAGCTGGGGGAAAGGGAGCAAGGCTGCAGCTGGAGGGGAGCTGGAAGTCAGGGCTTCGCAAAGCTGGTGACATGGTTCTGAGAATCCAGAGGGACACTGTCAGGCCAGGGCTGAGCACAGAGAAGACCTCCAAGAGTGAGGACTGCCACTGCCAGCTGACTTCCAGCCTCTGGTGGGCAGGGGGCGTGGAGTCCTAGACAGGCTGGCCCAACACACACCCAGGGTGCATTGCCGAAGCCGGGAGAGGTTCTGGTCCCAGGCACGGAAGAACAACACTATCTGATGACAGGCTAAGGACAAGCTGACGTGCAAAGGCCTCAGGGTCACACAGGAGAACACAGAATGGACAAATCAGTTCAGCCCCAAAGCCACTGGGCAGAGACAGACGATAAGCAACGGCAGCACACCTGAGGGAGGGAGGAATCTGACTGCCATGCGGCCACGTTGTAATATTTAGAAAACATAATCCAGACTCATCAAAACTACCGCAAAGGGCAACTGGGACAGCATCAAAAGAACAGTACCTAAGGAAGTCCATAAAATCCTTCAAATGAGTCATTTTCAATTCTCAAGGAACTAAGGAAACCACGTCTGTGGGTGGGGGTGCACAGCATTGTGAAGATCCTCAGAGCCACGGACCTATCAGTTTTAATGGCTACAATGGTGAATTTTATGCAAACTTTTTCTAAATCAAAACAACTTTTTTTGGTTCTCCTCAACGTGAAGTCACTTTTTGTAAGGAATGAAGGGTGCAGCCCCTGACTGTGGATGAGGTATGTCAGTCAGCAGACCCCTCCTGCCTCCCTCCCCCAAAAGCCAGGTAGCTCAAATGTCACTTCCTCCATGCAGTCACCCAAAGCTCCCCACACCGGCCACACACCTGCATCCTTGGGGCTTGACAGTGTCTGCACAGTTGGTCCGGTGCCCACCCAGACTGCTGGCACCATGACCCTTTGACAAGTCTCTCTCCTGAGTTGGGTGTGAGCTCTCTGAGAGGCAGAGGTGTCTGCCTCATCCCCAGGAATGGATACAGTGAGTAAAAAGTCTCTTCTTCCCTGTGTACTTGATACACCTGGAAACAGACTGCCCTGAAGTCTAGAACTAAACTGCCGACTTTCAGATTTTGTGGCAACTCTTTTGCTGTTCCAGTGAGTTCTTACCAGAATCTCAAACAGTCTTCATCAGATAATTATTTCAAGAACTTTAGCCAAAAAGCACATAATTCAACATCATGGGAAACACTGTCACAGACACACTTCACAATGTTGAAAGGCACAGGATGGGATACATTTACTTGGTCTTAAATTGCAAGCTAAGCTCCCGGCACCTCCCCCAGAGGAAGGCAGAGGGTGGGCCTGCTTTCTGCACTCACCTCCCGCTCCATGGTCTTCCTTCTGAGCAGTTTCTTCACACTTGGGAGCTGCTTCTTCAACAACATCGTGGCCTCGTTCATCCTGCGGACTTGGGTGATGAGGAAAGAAGGAACCTGGAGAAGAAAAATAGCTTAGCTAAAGGGAAAACACTTGCCTAAGACCTCCCTCAAAAATTCTGTCTTCCAGGATGCTAACTTCTCCTGGCCACCCAGCATCTTGGAACCAGGAGTGGGGGCATTTATTCTTGTAAAGGTTGGAAAAGTCAAAAAGAATTTCTGTGTAATGGGGAAACCATGTTTGAGAGGAGCTCTTAAAGACTCTCCAGCCATGTCGAGATTGGCTTCTAGGATGCCAGGGTCAGTTCTATAATAAAATGACGGAACTTCCTCCCAGATACTCAGGATCATTTCTGGATGACTTGTAATACCCACTACCATGGGAATGCTGTGGAAGGAGTTATACTATATTATTTGGGCCATAATTACAAGAGAAAAAGGTTTGTCCATGTTCATTTCAGACAAAATATTTTTGAGGACTATTTTGCATCTGTGGTTGGTTGGCTCTGGAGAAAAAGAACCAGCAGAGGTGGAGGCTCTGTGTGAGGAGGTCACAAGCCACCCAGGGCCGGCTTCCTCAGGGTTCCTCCCTCCGACGGAGGGAGTTGCTTGGTCGTGGTGCCTTTACTTCTCCTGGTGGTGGTGGACTTTGGGGGGTGGCCCGACAGTCTCTACACTGCTGCTCACCTTCCACAGGATCTTTTGGTACTTCAGCATCAGGCGCAGGATGTGGGCTGCGGTGTTGGCCAGCAGCAGCTCCTCACAGTCGGAGTGCTTGGCTCTGCTGAAGAAGAGGTTGGGCGCCATCACTGTGGAGATGTTCCACACGCTCATGCGGTTTTTGGATTCGTTGGCAATCACTTTATTGAAGAAGGTCATGAGGGCCTGACAAGAAACAGCGCCACGTCACACTGCCGTGCACGACCCAAGGCCTCCCTTCATCTCTGTCCCCACTCCAGGGTGCCGGAAGCTATGGGCGCAGAGAAGGCCTCTCTAACTGCTTGAAAAGTACTAAGAAGGAAGCCTAGCAGTTTCTTCCACTGTCTGCATCACAGAATAACCATTTTTATAATTTAGTATATTATAAATAGTTTACATTTTCTTCTTTCCTTTTACTCTAAGCAAGTTTGACAAATATTAAAATTGAACATAAGACAGAGAGAGAAAACACTGCTGCTCAAATAAACATGAAAAGGAGTCTTGTTATGAAGGAAGAAAAGTAATCTCAGAAAACACCTTTAACTTACCGCATTACTGTTGAAAATGATTTACCATTTCCCCGAGAAACAAAAACTTATCTAAGCAACACCAGTCTTTCATTCCTCAGCCCAAAATGTAAAATAAAGGCAGTTGAAAAAATGTAACAATTACTTTTTGGGTGCCATTCTTTTGTTTTGTTTTTCGACTCTGAGGTTTTTTCAGCTTGTTACAGATAAATACTTCTGTGGAGCTGTTCTAAACATTAAAAAAAAAGGACTTGGCGAAGCTTAAAAGTTTACTGAACCACTGGAGTATAGATATTTACCAGAACCTTTGGAAATTCGCCAGGAGGATGGAAATCCAAAGAGGTGCACTTTGGTTTTTCAAGTTTGAATTCCACCACAGTGCTAGGAAACGGCGCAGACATAGTAGTGGCGGAGGTTAAGGTCTGAGGGTCTACAATGGGGCACAGGCTCCACGTCTTCCCTCTCCACCGTCCCTCCAAACCCACGAGCACTGTGCTGTTCTACATGAGGAAACCGCGGCACAGAGGACTGGGCGGCTCTGCCACAATTGGTAAAGCCAGGACCCGAGCCAAGAAAGCCACCTCCTGAGCAGGAGCTCTTGATGATACACTGCAACAGCTCCAGTCTTAGTCCCAGGCACAATTTAGAAACAGATCACGTGCAGGCACGCATGTGCATGTGTGAGTGTGCGTCAGCGTGGATTGGACATCTTCACCTGTCCCCTGGTGTTCTGGGGTCTTTATTAAAGAAATGTATTAAATTATTTGACAATTGCTGCACCCTCAGGAATATGAGAGAGTAGATGGCATTTTTACCCACTGATATCAGGTGGGCTTTTAAAATATAGTTACATTGTTTTGATAAAGCCGAAAAACTAAGCTCATAAATCTCTAGCTTTTGAAAAATCACCAAACTATATTAGAAATAAACATTTCAATGCCTGGCGAATCCCCACTCTCATGCTGAGGGTATAGCATAAATGGCATATGTAAATTGCATAAAGATTTTCATCATGAGGGCTAAGATCCGCACACACAGAGATGTCTGATAAACAGGCAGCACCGTGACTCACCTTGCTCTCAACATTAAGTTTACTGGTCTCAAAATATTGTTACTGTAATGGCTGTGTCTAGATGTCCCCCTAAAGTCTCATGTGGTCACAGGTGAGGCTTTCCAGAGGTGGCTGGATCTAGAGTGCGTGATGCTGGGATCAAGGTGTGTGATTACTAAGTCAGTCCACTGATTCATTTCATATAGTTCTGGGGTTTGGGTAAGGGGGAGGCCCACTGGTGTGAGCACTACTGGGTGTGAGCACTAGTAGCCTATACAACACAAGGGACAGGAGAGGGCAGGTGGATGCTGGCACTTGCTGCTTGCTGCTTCACTGCTTTGCTGCCTTCTGCCCACCATGGACTGTACCGCTTCTGTGATGTTCTCCTGCCACGCCACCCTGTCTTCTTGCCTGGCGACTATGAACTGAAATTTCTGTAAGCTGTGAGCCAAATAAACCTTTCCTCCTTTAACTTTGGGTGTCAGGTATTTTGTCAGGTATATTTGAAAATAATTTAAGACAATTATTTTCAACTCATCTTCATTTCAACTTCATTTCAAAGATTCCAAATACATGTTGTACTTAAACAAATTTCCTATGTTACATAGAATCATTATCAGACTGGTAAGAGAGATCTTTACCACCATATAGCACAGAAATGAACTTGAAACAAAGGGGGAGAAATTTGGGAGGAAGAACTCTGGTATATGATTCTATCAAATGTTCTACATTAAAGCTCCACTTCTTGGAGCTTATTTTCCTAAAGGTAAAATGACCAGATTCTATCAGGTGGTGCCCCAAAGTCTAGAATTACTTATTATCTTCATACAGTGTGAAAATTTAAAAAACCCGAAAAATGTTATAAATTTCAATTCCTGCAATTTCAAACTTCCTCCCCAAGACACTAAAGTGATCAGCTCAGCTCCCACAATCATGGTGTCTTGTATTTTTCAAGTCACAACATGGCCTCATTTGCGTCTGACAGTGTCCGGCCTTTGGACTGAGCTACATACCCAGCCCTTTCTAAGTGCTGATATGTTGAGACAGGGTCTCACTAAATTGCTTAATTTCCAAGGCTGGACTTGAACTTGATTCTCCCGCCTCCACCTCCCGGGTGTGCACCACCATGCCTGGCACACGTCAGACACCCAGCGCCCCCGAATGAATGGGACGTGGGAAGCTTCAATGTCCGAAAACGACCCCAGGCTCCCATCCCTGCCATCTCGCTCAGCACACGCCAGCAGGTCTGCAGCTGCACAGATGGCGCTGTGAGCTGGCACCGCGGCCTCCGGGTCCCCACACGACCCACCCTCGGGACCCAGGAGCCTGCAGTGCGGAAGGTGCGAGGATGTACCTGGGCCGTGTCCCTGTTGGCGTCCGGCAGCGCCATGACCATGAGGTGCAAGGCCTGAAGCTGCACTCTGATGAGGGACCCTCCTGCAAGAAAACAGAGACAGCGCATGTGTGGGCCGCGCCGAGGCCTGGGGCAGCGTTCACACTAACAGCTGCAGGCACAGGGGCCCTGAGGGCCCTGGGTGGTCTGGACGGTCACACTTGGGAGTGGAGTCTGACAAGCTCAATGTGCTCACTTGGCCGGCAGCCCCGCTGTGTCACCCCCCTTCCCGTCCACAACACCACGGCCAGCACAGATGGCGACAGCCTCTGGATGTGCTGGATGTGCCTAATATTCCTGGTCGAGGCATTTTCACAGACCCTGCCTTGCGTTTCAACCAGAAACAGAAGGGCTGACATTCAGTTCAAGAAGAGATTGGGCCAGGGATTTAGCTCAGTGGTGCCGCCCCCTGCCTCTCAAGGACAAGGTCCTGAGTTCGATATCTGGTACCAAAAAAAAAGACAATTAAAAAAAGAGAGGCGATTAACCTTATTTTCATATACAGAGGCAGTAGCAACACATAATTGTTAGGAACTAGGTTCAAGTCCTGCATCTCCTACACTGTCCTTCTGTGAGCTCAGCCGGGTCCCTGAGCCCTGTGGCTTCCATTTATCCTGTGTGAGGTGGGAGTGGCCAGATGTCTGCTGCACAGGACTGGCCTCAGGACTAAGTGAGCTCCTGTGGACAGCGTCTAAGTCATCTCGAATCATGGTCCACCTTGTGTGTGTGCTCTTGTTTTTAAGATCTGTGCCCCTGGTTCTGGGTCTTACAGGGACGTTGGGAGAAGGCAGCTTGCAGTTTGACCTTCAGTGACTGTTGAGTGTTTTATTCCTTCATGACACAAGGTGGCGCCAGAGTGCTGGCAGTGACACAAGGGTCCTGTGCTCCTGGAGCTCGCCACTGGCCAGGCTGAGAATCAGAATGTGGGTGCAGTCGGAGGTGGGGGGACGGGACAGGACGGGACGACTTCTCGGGTCTGTGATGGAGTCACACAGGGGAGAAGGGCGGTGTTCATAGGACCTCATCATGCAGTCTTGGCACCGGCCTTGGGAGGTGGATATTTGTGTCAAACACATGAACCAAACTGGGCCCAGGGTCAGATGTTACTGAAAACAGCAAATTCGTGTTGGTGTGAGCCTGCCTGAAAACAGGACCTGCCAGGAGCCCGGCTCGGCGCAGGACACTTAGGGACACAGAAAACACTTTTTAACGCACAAACTGCAGGCCGAAGCTATCTCCAGTCTCCCAGTGCGGTCCCAAAACACTACGAGTGGAAAAACCCAACTGGTGCAGGTGCAGGCTTGGGAGCACCCTATTCCCACCGCTTTTGGCAAATAACCCATTTTCATTTTACTTAGCAGACCTAGCCCTACATGGTTTGTGGTTAATACTTTTATAATTAATTTATTTAACGCATCTCAGTAGAAAGCTGGCTTCATCGTAAGGTCACTATCTCCCCAGAAAGTGACTGCACTTTTCCTGAAGCTGGCTGAGGCTGAATTCATGAACGAGTAGCCTACTAATGGTGCAGGCAATTGGGGGGCCATGACTGAAAACAGGAAGTAATTAAATGAGTGGGGAAGGAATCTGGGTACAGAAGTATAGTTGCCAACCTGCACCCCACACATGCAGTGTTCCCCTTCCAGAGCAATCGCTGTTGAACTCCTGCAGCTTCAGGTGACAAAAAGCCCATTATTTCCTGCAGCAGAGTTGGTGGGCACCATATCAATCACCTGCGATGCAGTATTTTTCACTCAGAAAGTCCTACGCAGAAGTGGGCTCCTGCGTGAACCATTCTGGAGATGCAGCAGACCCCCTTCAGTGAAGCGTGCCAGAGGGGGAGGATGGAGTGTAGGAAGCTCATGCCATCGCCTGGCTTTCTTTCGTGTCCTCCCCACAGCTCTGGCACGTGAGGTTTGAGTCCTCGTTGCGTAACTCACCACACCAAGCCCCAACCAAAATTCCCCCATGGCACTGGTTTGTTTTAACTACAGAGCAAGAGGAAACTCAATTCTAAACCTATATTCCAGGAAGGCAAACAACATAGAAAATCCCATTCTTTTTTTGTTTTGTTTCTGAAAAGTAAGGAATTTTGCTTTTGGAACAGCAGAGTAAGCTCCCACCAAGTCAACTGTCCTGAAGGCACCAATAATCTCTGGACAAAGTCGCCATACAATTACCTGGGGCAGTGGAGAGAGAATGAGACTGGCAGATCCTGGAGAGGACTGGGCTCCCGGGACAGTGGTGGAACAGGGATATGGACACTCTCTTCTCCTGGCCTTTGATTAAAGATCCTGCCCCAGGATGGTCAAGGTTCAATAATAAATTACCGGGAAGTTCTGGTCTTTGTGGCCTGAACCAGAGTTCATGGTGGAACCCCAGAAAGGAGAGCCTGGGAGGGGGGAAGCCTTCAGTGCGGAATAAACTCCCATGGACTCTCCCAGACCCACGAGCAAGCCCACAAAGGGTGCCAAGAAGTGCTGAGCTCTTGGCCCAGTGTCCACTGGCAAAGTGAGTCCAGCCAAGCAGATTACCCGCCTGAAACAGCATCAACCAACACATCTCTGGGAGAATTTCAACTTCCTTGATGAACAAAATCACAGGAACCCGAGATCCACTTGCCAAGACAGACGAGCCCTGAGATGAGTCAGAACTGGAGCTACTGATAAGGGTTTTGAAGTTGGTTTTCAAACTATTCCCAAGGATGAAGAAAAAAATGCCTAAGGAATAAAACATAAGGGATAAAAAAGATAGGGCCTCACAGAAGATAAATAAAAACACTTATAGAGCATCAACTAAAAATTCTCGAACTGAAAAAAAAAAAAAGCGGACAAGGTTTTGTCTGTCTCTCAGCAAACTTTTCTCACAAAATAAAAATGCAAGCTTTTACAAAGAACAGACATACCTGCCCCTAACAGCATGGGAGTTAAAGCTCAGACAAAGACTGCCTTTCCCATCACGGTCTCTTACTGAAGGAAAAAAATTATTTTGTGAATCTGGTTTAGTAAGAGCTTGTAAAGATTAAGAGCTACTCATTTTTAGGACAAGTTTGGTCACACAGCTTGGGATCCATTATTATTTTCTTTCATTAGGGCTCCGATGCTCTCCCAGCTGCAGTCCACCTGCAGACACCACAGAGTGCAGATATAGACGTCACCTGCTAAGCTCACGGTGTTCGAAACTATGAAACTGAGGTTGATGCTTTCAAACGAAGAATTTCCCCATCGGAGCCTGGATGTGGCTCTCAGTCCTGCACGGAAACCATCACTGAGAGCTGAGCATGGTCAGTGTCACCCTGTCAAAGTGGCCAGGCCCTCTTCTGTCCACAGGGCTTTGTCACCTACTTAACACATCTGTCTACACCCTGACCTCCTGGGGTGGTCACCAAGGCCCCCACTCTACTTCTCTACACTTTTTCTTTTGCCACACCCTGCACAATACTCAACCTCTGTGGTCCAACCGCGTCAGACTGTTCCCTGCCTGTCAAGTCCAGCGTTCCCACGTCTGTGCTTTCAAAGACGTCACCAAGAACAAACTGATGCGATCTGGTGGATTTTCAGAAACACGACCTGATGTGATTCCCGGCGACAGACGTACAGTGTGTGTGGCAGGGGCATCTCCAGCCCCTGGACCTTGGAGGGATGGAGGGAGGGACCTCATGATTTTCGCTGGATTGTCAGCCATGAGGCACTTTCTAGATGGTTTCATTCAGCACCCACAACAGCCCTGATGCGTCCCTGTCATCTGTCACTGCAGGGGCAGCAGCTGAAGGTAAAAACCTCGACTGCACTGCTGGCAGGGCAGGCCGGAACCCAATCTCCATGGCTCTGTCCCTGAATGAAGACAGAGCCCTCTCTATCCTGTGTACGGGCTTCACTGCAGTGGTTTGTACACGGGTGAGTGTTTGCCATCAACCTCAGCATTTTAACTACATGGGGTCAGAAAAGAGCATCTCTCTCCACTAAAGTCCATTTCATTCTGCGCCTTGGCCCTGCTGCCACTTTACTGACCCTGTTTACTTTTGAGCCCAAGCACACACGGTGTCTTTCACCTACTTTCCATCAGCGCGACGAAGGCAGGTATGTATTCCACGGGGAAGAGAGAGGTGGGCAGCTCTCGGAAAAACGCTTTCAGCATCACTGCGGCTTCTCGGTGGCACATTTTGTCCCATTTAAATTTATCAGCATTGAACTTGGTGTCCAGCTCTTCACGGTATTGCTGCAAATCAAGGAAGATGGTCAGCGTTCACTGGATTTTTACCCGGGGCCCGCTTCAGCTCCCTGGAAGCCATCACTGATAAACCACTTCTGCAAAGACATTCATGAAGGCAGTGTTATCTAGCCTGCTTTTCAACATGATTAGAGAACTGAAACAGGTATTTGGGAATGAATTTTTGAAAAGAGCTTTTGGGAAAAGTTTTCAATTAGCAACGATCGTGCCTTAGCTAAACCCCACTGGCTATGACACCGCTACTGTGCAAAGCTGAAATGGAGCTTTTGAAAAAAAATTTGTGTGTGACATCGGCATTTGAACCTATGACCTTCACACCGAACTACACTCCCAGGTCCTTTTCATTTTTTCTTTTGGGACAGGGTCTTGCTAAATCACTAAATGGCCCAGGAATTTGCAATCCTCCTTCCTCAGCCTCCCAGTGTGCCGGGATTACAGGCATGCAGCACCACGCCTGCTCAAATAAATAATGCTAACCTTGAAATAATTTGCTAAATCTACACAAATATGAAAGTTCTTTACTTAGCCTGCAGTTTCACTTCTGTGGCTTGGGCAGGGTCCCTCTACTCCCCGTGTGAGGAAAGCCCAGTTAGCTCGTGGCAAGGTCTCCTTCCTCTTTTTCACAATCGCCTTGCTGGCCTGGTTTCTCTTTCTAAACTAGACTGAGGCTGTGCGGCTCTGCAGGCCACATCCAGAGCCAGGAAAGTCCCGGTAGAGCCTCTCTGTCCTCACTGCAGACCAAGGACAACGTCCTGGAGCAGCGACAACACACACATGGCTTTTACATGTAAAGTTTGGCTCTGTAAGGCTGGCAGCACTGTGCAAGTGCTTTAAAAAAATTGTTTAAAAAAAGCACTAAACCTCCTTAGTTTCTGTCTTTCAAGTGTTACATTATTGATTTGTCTGATTATCAGTACCAACCTTCTCCATTTTTTTTCTAAAAATCAAACTAATATTCTTCTAACTGCAGCTTCAACTACACATTCCTTTGTTTTGTTTTGTTTTTTTGGTTTTTGAGACAGGGTCTACTATGTAGTTGAGACTGACCTGGAACTCACTATGTAGCCCAGGCTGGTCTCGAACTCATAGGGATCCTCCTACCTCAGCCTCTGGAGTGCTGGGATTACAGGCATGCACCACCATGCCTGGCAACTACACGTTCTTTGATGGCGCTAGGACGTAACTACTCCAAACAGCGTGCTTGGACTCTTATTTTCACGAGAAGCCTGAATCCTGTGGCCTTGAGCACACACAGCCAGTCATCTTGGTCACTGTACTCTTGCCTACCCAGACCACCTCCGTAAGGTGCCAGGCACAGAGCGCTCCTGGATCTCAGAGCCTGCAGAAGGCAGACCCCTGGAGACCAGAGCCTCCCCAGACACCTGTAATTCAGATCTATGCCCCGCATCTACTGATAAATTCAAAGATTTTCTTCTTGTCCTATTCTACGAGGAATACTACAGCTAATCAAGCAATGCTTTGCAAATAAGATGCATTTGATAAAACCTTCCGCACATGTTAAGTTCTTCCTCAAGCAAAAGTGATCATGCCCTGGACTGGGCTCTGGGAAAAGGAGGACACACGAGATCCATCTTGTGCCTGTGGGTACCTTGTAGTGGAGCAAAGAGGCCTTTTCAAGGGGACAGCACTAACAGACTGCAGAGGCCACACGCTGCTGCTGAGCAGCCCAGAGAGCTGGGATCCCGGCTGCTGGGGCCAAGTCTGAGTCCTGCTGAGAAGCTTGTAGGGAGAGGTTGCAGGAAGGCACCCAGCCGGGAGGAGGCGCTGTGCAGGCAAGTGCAGTGCACGGGGGTTCAGTGTGGTGGGGCCCCCGGTTCCCAGGGGACTGGGCAGTGAGGCGACTTGGAACACTTCTAAGCAGAGGACGGCGAGGTCTGATTTGTCCTGTCTGACAGCTGGATGGAAAGACGACTGGGAGAGTGTGGAGCCTGGTGCGGGCTAGGGGCACGGAAGGGGCCAGGAGCCCAGTCATACGCTATGACAGCCCTTCTGGTGATGGACGACCGAGGTCCAGCCGATAAGCAGTTGCAGAGTGGAAAGGAGGGGGCATTTGAGAAAAGCCGAGGAGGGAACGTGCCCAAGGCCCAGTGAGAGGCCAAATGTGGGACCCAAAGCAGGAAACGGCGGTCTAGGGTGATTTCTGGGATGCGATGGGATGTTGCTAACGGTGTTGCTAACGGAGATCCGGGGCAGAGGGGTGAGCATTGCCCATAGTGCCTGTGCCCCTGCTATACAGCACAGGAGAAACTGTCCTTCAAGTGGGCCGGAGTATCTGCACAAGCAGAAGAATCCGTTTATTGCTCTACACCTCTGCCAAAGGAAGCCATTTGCATAATGACTGACTGTTAATCTGAGAGACAACAGGGCCCCAGGCCAGAGTCTGGTGCTATCACCAGGTCCTTGAGGCGTTGATCCCAACTCCACAGCTAAGTGGTTGCCTGGTCTGTGCCTCACATTTCTCCCGTACAACAGCACAACAGGGATATGAAAAAGACGTCCCTATCTCGTACAGCCCAAGCCATCTTGAGCAAAAAGAATAAAGCAGTAGATGTCACACTAACTTCAAAACACCCCACAAAAGTATAGTAGTAAAACATATGTTACTGGCTGGAAACAGACACGTAGGCCAACAGAACAGAATAGGGAGCCTGGAAGTAAACCACACACCTACAGCCAAATGGTGCTCAACAAAGAAGCGAGGTGTACATGCAAGACAAGACTGTGTTTTCAATACATGACACTAGGAAAATTTGGTACCCACATGCAGAAGAATGAAGCTGGACCTCGTCTCTCTCCTGCAGCAAAATTCAATTCCAAAATGGATTACAGACACCTGACACCATGACACTACTAAAAGAAAGCAGAGGGGAAATGCTTTGGGGCATTGGAATGCATACGGATTTTTGGACAGAATCCCCTACAGCACAGGCAAGAGAGACAAAAATAGACAAATTGAATTCTACCAAACTAAAAAGCTCCTGCTCAGCAAAGGAGAGAAATCAGCAGTGTGAAGAGGCAACCTACAGACTGGGAGAAAATATTTGCAAACTGTACTTCTTTTTTGTTTTCTGGTGTTTTGAGACAGGGTCTCACCATGTAGTTGAGACTGACCTGGAACGCACTATGTAGCCCAGGCTGGTCTCAAACTCACAGTGCTCCTCCTGCCTTAGCCTCCCGAGTGCTGGGATTACAGGCGTGCGCCACCACGCCCGACTTGCAAACAGTACTTCTGACAAAGGTTTAATATCTGAAATATTTAGAGAATTTAACAGACAACAAACAAAAAACAACAGCAAGAACCAACTTGACTAGAATGTAGGTAACAGACCTAAGAAGACATTTCTCACAAGAAGACATCTGGGATAGGCCAGCATCACCACACTAATCATCAGGGAAACACAAATCAAAGCCACAGTGAGGTTTCACCTCTGCACCCGTCTACCTTCTGGCACTGTGACAAAATTCCTGAAGGTAACAACTTCAGAAGGAAAGGTTCATTTGGGCTCATGGTTTCCATGGTTACAGCCCATGGTAAGTGGCTCCATCACTTCGGCTTGTGGTGAGGTAGACACATCATGGCAGAGTAAAGATGCTCACCTCAGGGTAACCAGGGAGCAGAAAGGAAAAGACAGAGCTGGGGCCAGAGAGACGTAGTTCCCAAGGTCACATCCGCCTTGATCTACTTCCTCCTCTAGGCCCACGTCCTCAGTCACGGTCACCTCCCAATAACAAACTGGCAATCCATTGGTGAATTAATTTACCAGAGAAGTTACAGCCCTCCCCAAAGCTCCACCTGGGAACGCATGAGAATTCTGAGGGACGTTTTAGATAGCCACACTGCAGATAACGGATATTATCAAAAAGATCAAAGGTCAGAAATGCTGGTGAAGATGTGCAACAAAAAGGGAGCTCTTGTCACTGCTGATGGGAATGTAAATTAGTACAGTAATTATGGAAACCAGTATGGAGGATCCTCCAAAAACAGGAACACCATTACTGTATGATCCAGCAATCCCACCTCTTGGGTGTTCATCTGAAGGAAGTGAAATCAGTATGTTAAAGGTGAACACAGTTCCATTCACAGTAGCCAAGAAATGAAGACAGACCAGCTGATGACCACACAAAGAACAGGGGTACACACATACCGCAGAATACCACGCAGCCACAAGAGGAAACCCTGTCACTTGTGACAACATACATAGAACCAGGATCGCTACGTTAAGCAAAATAAGCCATGCACAGGAAGACCAGTTTCACGCGATTCCACTCATATTCATTCTTGGAGAAGCTGGGAGGAGAGTGCCAGTGACCAGAAGCTGGGGACAGCACAGTGGATGGACACTAAGTCACACCTACCTGTGATTATGACACAGGACCATGAATTTCTGGTGCATTATTGCACAGAAGGGTGACCATTTATTTCAAAACACTAGAAGAAAGGGGTGTGAATGCTTTCATCATAAAGACGCTAAGTGCTTGAGGTGGGTATGCTTCCCCTGATTTAAACATTGTACAATATATCCACGCTTCAAAACATCGCACAGTACCCCAGCAAGTGTGTAGGATTTCTGTTTTTAGGTATCTATTGAAAAACATTTCAAAAAATGACCTTGCCTAGATGAAATCAGCTCCTGTAACACAAAGCTCTAGGCAGGGCCTCGAGCAGATTCACTCCATAACTGCTGCTGCTCATTCGGCCCCTCCAGCCTGGGACGAGCTGTGACCACTGAGGGAATAATGTCACCACTTCCTGTCAGGATGGTGGGGATGGAACAGCACCGAGAGAAAGAACCGCTCTTCCGGTTCCGGCCACAGCGGGCTGCCGCGTAGGAGCGGAGCTGGCCTTTCAGCAGTGGCCCTGAATGCACAGCCACACATGGCAGGCGTCAATGGTCCTGACCAAGACAGAGAGAGTCCGGAGGTCCAAGGAACCATGCTTTCTGCCCACTGCTGGTGAGAACAGAGGCCAGGATCGGAAGTCACTTCCTAAAGTCTCCTCTGAGCCCAGATCAAACTGCTTCAGTCTGAAGCAGCTTCACATCAATGCCACGGTGAACCGGTAAACCTGCAGCTGCCAGCTTGGAGCAGGGGCCACACCGTAGGCCCTGACGCTGTCCTGCACTTACAGCTGCTTTCAGAGAAACAAGGCAACACAGAGAACAGTCGGCCTCCTGTGTACAACACTTCTCCAGCGCTTGGCATTTCTGTCATGTTTTGCAAAGGAAATCACCAGACACCCAAAGCACTAAATTAGCTCCGCATGACCCGAGGCCTCAAACACGACCCCGGCTCCACAGTCACGTTCGTTTGGCTGAAGTTGAGCAGCTTCATCTCAGAGCTGCTTCTCTGTGGGTCTTGCTGGGTGTTCCAAGCACAAGGCCAGGCCGGTCTGTTACACAGTGGAGCCCCAAATAGCTGGTTATCATTTACTGGGCATAGTAGTAATGGAGTCAGAAAAAGAAACTGTCCTTTTGCAAGCACATTCCAACAAAAAGTAGTCTAGCAGAGATTTCAGAAAGGGAAAAGAGAGGTTAAGGTTCGAGTGGAGGAAACCAGTGAGATTCCCTTTAAGATGCCACATTCCAAGGCCTCCCTAATTCCTGTGTGCCTGGCTCTGCTCGCTGGCCCAGGTTTCTGGAGCACAAGCCATGAGAACATCTGGATGACATTTCTTAGATGAATAAGCAGCGGAATAAATAGGCCGACACTACATAAAACTGGTGAGGGGTGAGGGGGACTTTGACCGCAGAGTGGCTCGGCGGCGTGCCCGCCCGGAGGACCCCTGGAAGGCCCAGTTCGCCTCAGATAAGCACGTCTCAGGCCAAGAGTAGCTCAAGAAAAATAGTGTCTGCTAGAATGTGAGTCACGGAGGGACGCGGTCTAGGTCTGTTTAGGAAATCTGTTTCTTTGTCTTCCTTTCGGGTCTGTGACGCTGCCGATGTCCAAAGATTTGACCACACTAGCGGGAGTTTCAGTCTCCCTCTCAGGCACGTTCGCTCAGAAGTCTATCTAGGAAGAAACATGTGAGACACCGAGACAGAGCAGACTCAGTGTAGAAAGCACGAACTTTAGGGCCACTAGGGATGGAGCTGCTTTTCAGACACAGTTGTGCCTGCCGTTTTAGCTCTGGCCAGCTCCCCACACCCGATTCCTGGGGTGGCTGGTGATGTGCGGCTCCCCCTCAGATCTCTCAAGTTAGTCGGCTGCTGACTTGATTTGTACAGCTGTGGGCCCTCTGGGGCAGCCTCAGCTGCATCCTTCGAAGCAAGCACAGGCCAGGCTGAGCTGGGGACATTGCAGGCCCTGGGAGGAACAGGACGGCCTGTACCTTGGGCTCTGTCCTTTCTTGCCCACTTTAGCTTTCACAGGCACCAGCCTCAGGACTTCCTTCCATGGCAAATCTGTGTTGGCGTTGGGCCTCTGGAGGGTCTGGGGACATGGCTCATTGATTCTCCATTTCCACTTGAAAAGCATCCAGGCACACTCCTAAGCAAAAGCCCCACAACTGCTGCTACAAACAGAAGTTCCCAACACACAGCAAAATGAAGGGGTAAGGAGCTACCTTTGCGCCCCGTGGCTGCCTCTGGGTAGTTCTGACTACAACTGAGTTCATTTTTCCCTCGGCCTCATGCCTTCCCCTTGGGGGTTTATCATTTCACATCTGCCGGTGGGGGCGGGGAGCCTTTTGCTTTGTGTACCCCCCACCCCAGGAGACACAGTGAGGTTTTTCACTAGAGATTTAGGAGGAAGGCTCTTCTTTTCAGTGCTTCGTTCTTAACCATTCTTCCGAGTTTACGGCCCCGAGGAAGGGCATAGGCAAAGGGACGGGGTTTCCAGTGTGGTCACCAGCATCCCCATACGTGGAATTTGGATTCAGACCCAGTGAACGAGTGTTCCTGTGGCCACAAGCACTGCGCCCAACCCTTCCACAAACTTCAGCCAGAAGGAGAGCTGAAGGATGCTTCCAAGCTTAAGGAACAGGGAGTGGAAATAATGGCTCGCATGCTACTGGCTTAGAGGCTTCTGTGACACAGAAGGTGGAGGAAGGTAACCCCCAAAACGGCAGTGGGCATTTTGAGACTAAGACAAGCAACAGTGCTTGGCATGCACTGACTCCATGTTCTGTTGTGGGTTGCTCATTGCTTTGATTTAATAAGTTCATGGAACAAACACAGAATACTAGCTGGAGACAAGTAGTGCTATCAAATGCATAAATACTGTCAACGACAAAGACTAGAGTCCTGGTCTCATCCGAGTGGGGCGTAGATGGCTTAGATCTCTAACGAGGAAGACAGAAAACCTGGGTACCTTGACTTTGGCAGTACATCCCGAGAGTCGAAAGATTCCTTCGGATTCCAGACCTGACTCCTCAACTTTCTCAAAGAACTGCAAAGCAAAGATATATTTCAAAATGAGTACCTCACAGGATCACAGATGCCTGAAATAACAAGGCGGACAACAATGGCAGTACAACGCCAAGCTCGCACATCTGCCTGGTACTCAAATGTCTTGTTAAATGCTCACCTTCACCCTACAAGGCTGGCACCATCCTCCAATCTGCAAACGAGCAAACGGAGGCTTTACTTCTCTGAGATCCACCTTGTGCCCTATTAACACGCTGCCTCTTACCCATCTTAACTTCCAGCGGCAGCAGCTCTCCCAGCAGACTTGACCAACAGGAAGGGTCTGAATCTGCCTCCAGGAGTTGCAGCCACTCTGGCTGTGAACCTGTAGGAACTGGGGAGGCTGACCAGGGAACTGGAGATCGCAAGAGTTAATCGTTCTCAAGAGTCCTTGTGGTGGCAATATACACAGAGTCCTGTATCCTGAAGATAATCCTACAAGTGGGTCCTGTCATGATCCCTGTTCTACCGCTGAGAAAACGGAGGTATGGCAAGGCTAAGCGTCTGTCTTGGCTTCCCGGATGAGGAGGCTCCAGCGTCTCTATGGTAACAGCTCACACCTGCCGAGTGGCCACTGAGACACAGACCCACATTTACTTTGGCTTCTATAGAGCACCTTCTGTCTGCTTTCGCTGGCTAAGTTCTCCACTAGGTTCTTATACCTGCAAAATAACTTACACCCACATGGTGAATCTTCTGTCTTAAATTTTTATAGATTTTCTTCAAATTCTGGCTTTAATCCAAAGAAGGGAAGAAAGTCTTTCATGCGGGCTTTGGACCTGGACACAGGCCCAGCCTCCTATGCCTCAGCTGGTTCCTCAGCAGCAGGCAGAGTGCAGCCCCGAGCTGGGGGCCTGGAGGATGAAATGGGATGTTTATCATGGGACGGAAGGGGCTCTGAGTGGCGCTGGGCACAGAGGTGCCCCCTGCATCCTCTGTCCACCTGGTGGCCACCCTCTTGCTCCTGTCACCAGCCAGTCAGTCGCCAGACTTGAAAAGGAGCTCAGTTTGAGGTACTGGTAGCAAAATACATAAAGACAGAATAGAGGCGCAGAACTTCTGGTGTGAGTAAAGTTGCTGTGTTTTTCCTCCATCCGTATTTTTATAAAACATTCAAAAGCTCACTTTAAACTTCAGCGAGGTTTGTGTTGAGGACCTGGATTGTTACTTGAGCCACCGGATGTCGCTGCTGAGCACGAGCAGACTTCCTGGGCCAGGCCTGAAAACGCAGCCTCAGGGTAACCGGCTCCTTGAGAGTCACAGAGCCGGTCAAGGGTCATAGCTCACACACAGCACTTTAAAAACTTTGTTCCACCAAAATTTAACTGCTATCAGCCCGGCCACACCTGAAAAATCACCAGAATGAGCTGATTTTTAGATTTTATTCACCTTCGCTTAGAAAATTTAGGAAATAATTACACATCCATCTTTTAAAAGCTCAGCCTAGGATATAACTGAACAAATACTGTATGATGCATAAATATATCATTAATAATTAATGTTCCTCTTTAGCCAGGCACATGAGCAAATACGTGCAAACACAAGGCACATGCACACATGACATCTAAAAAAGGATTAGGAAAAAAATACAACTGAAGGAACCCAGGAGACAGAGCCTCTACGCCTGTGCCCTGGTGGCTTAGGGTCCCATCACACGACAGGCGCCTGCGTGTAGGGCTGCTTGGTCTCCAGTGTGCTGCGTGGGGGTGGTGGGACCCCAGTGGGACTTCCGGCCTGACCCTCCAGTTTTCTGGTTTCCTGTCTGGCCATGTGGCACCCCACCCCCACCCCGGCCACGTCACTGTGGTGATCCAGCCACCGGAGACTTTACCAGAGCTGGCGATTTGGGGACATCCAGCCTTCAACACTGTGAGTGAAATATAAAGAGTCGGCCTCAGGGGTTCTGTCATGGTAATGAGAGGCAGACTAAGGGAAGGCCACCTGGCCTAAGTACTTGCAGCCGTTATGTGGACTCGTGGAGTGAAGTGGAAACTCGATGGGCCTATGGTGCATTCAGATAAAAAAGTAACTTCATTAGTGGGCTTCCTAAGTACCAAATCCAAACAGAGGCTCAAGCACTTTGCTGCCTACTCACTTTCTGTAATACAAGGGGAACTTTCACCGCAGGGTCTTTCTTGTGGTCATTGTCCAGGAGCACGGTAAGCGGAATTCCAAAGATCCCATTGTCTTCATTGTGGAAGAGTCAAGGGGGAAAGAAAAAGGAATCAGAAAAGCACTCTCTTATTCCCGTTCATGAGGGTCAAAGCCAGGGGCAATCAGTCCTCTCAGTTACCTCGTCCTTTTACTTTCTCTGTTTTGTTTCTTTTCAGTTGAATTCCAAAGGCATCAAAAAAGGCAGTCAACTCAATCAGAGAGAGATGGCGGATCTTCTTCATGTCTTCTGCTGACAGGTCTCCTGCTTCAGTGAGCCCAAATCTGGTCTTCTGAACAATGAATTTCTAAAATAGATAGGGAAGATACTGGGTTTTGATGGCCAATGGATATGGTTATTATAGCTTCATTCATGGCCACCTGGACATTCTACATCTACACAGCTGTTATGGTTTACATCTAGACAAATCCCCAAGCCTCCTGTGTACTTAGGTGGGGCTTTGGGGAGGAGATTGGATCATGAGGGTATGATACTTATAGTTGATTAGTCCTTTGAAGAGTTTAAAGCTAAATGTGATGTTTGGAGTGGAGACTGGTGGAGGAGGTGGGTCACTGGAGCCATGGCCTAGAAGGGTCTGTCTCCCTCCTCCTCCCTTGATCTCTCTGCTTCCTGCTGCCTCACGGACTGTTTCTCTTAGCCAGGCCACCCTGCCTTGGAGCCAGGCAATGATGGACTGAAACCTCTGCAAACTGTGAGCCAAAATAAACTTCTCCTCCTTTAATTTGTGGATTTCAGGAAAATTGTCTCAGCAATGAAGAAAGTAACTAAGATAATGGCAAAACATGATATTTGCAAAAACACAGGAACATGTTGGGTCACAGAGATTCTATGAATATGTATGTTTTATAAAACATTTGCAGATGAGTACTGTGCTAATTAGAAGCAAAATAGCAGTCTAAAGTACCTGATGACTTTGCCATCACAATTATGGAAATGGCTTTCTTATGAGAGATGTCCTACACTGTCAAACAGCAGAGGAGCTGAGCAGCACAGGGAGTTCGCACACCACAAGTTCTCAATCTGGGTGATTCGTGGTGTATGCCTATGTGACACACCTAGGTCTAGCCCAGGAGAGCTGTGGGTGGTCTTAGTACAGACAGTCCCTCTCCTTAAACAGGCTTTGCAGATTGCGCAACTGCATGCTTTAAGAGGCTCTTACCAACCTCCCCATTGGCCAGATTACCCAGGCTTACTGAGACAGCAGTCCCCCTACCTTAAAAACCAGATTTAGATGATTCAAATTCTTAAAAAGAGTAAAATGCACTTAAAGTGAGAGTAATATTACTAACCTTTTTTTTTTTGGTACCGGGGATTGAACTCAGGTCCTTGCGCTTGCAAGGCAGGCCACCGAACCGCTGAGCTAAATCCCCAGTCCCCTTACTAACCTTTTGAAGATAACAATACTATTATATTTTTCCATTTCCACACGAAGAAATAAAATGCACTAAAACAATACCCACAGATCCATGAACAGAACCTAAAAACATGGTAAATAATTTAAGGGGCCGATAAAAGATGACTCTTATATAATATCCAGAAGGTATTTCCTCTCAAAGAACTACACAATCAAAACCATGCCAAGGCAATAAAATTCCCATAGTTATTCAAACTACAAAGTTTTCAAATACACCCTTCACAAGGGTTCCCTATGTTGGGTACGACTTGAGGACACCTCACCATCTACTGATGCACTGGAACCCCAAGTACTTAAGAGTAAGACAGCAAAATGTAGGGTGCAGCCACACTCATAATGCTCTTCACTGTCTCCTGTTCTTAGGGAGACCAATGTCCTCTGATAGCCCACAAAGAAGAACCGCTTTGGTCACTATGCAAGTATTGCACAGCAGACCAGCATCCCAGAGGCTGTGAGTCAGGAGCAGGCAGCTTCAATAAGGAGACCTCTCTTGCCTGACTCTAAAGAGACCTAGGAGGAGGGCCTGTCCCTGACACTAGTCTCTCTGGGGCTTCCCCCTCTGACCTGGAAAGTCACTCTGCCCTCCAGTGTGGGACTTCTGGGGGACTAGGCAGGGTTGGGACTTTGTCACACAGGTTTGAAATCCTGTTCCTCTGGGCCTTTAGCCAGCGTCTACCTGGCAGCTGGATCCGCTGTCTCCACATGAGGCCAGGGTTGGTGGGTCCTAGTGAGTCTTCCTTGTCCTATCCTCCATCTCAGAGTGGTCCAGGCCACCTGGTGCAAAAGGCCTGCCTCTGAGGACTTGCTCTTTAGCTCTGACACCGCCCAAGCCCTGCACATGGCACCTACAACTCAATCGGTAGACGATGTGCAGGTCTCCAGATCATAAATTCTGAAGAACAGCAAATAGACGTATGTGACCTAGTTCTGGATCGGGCTCCTAGGACGCGCTGTCCCAGACACACAGGAAGAGGCCCTCAGGATAACAGGGTGCATAGTCCCACTGGCCTGTCTTACGGTGACACCAATTCTTGGCTCTCCTGAGATTTTAGCATCTGTCCTCTGAATACTCGCTTGTTGGACTCTGACTTTCTGCAGCACCCCTTCTGACGTGTGACATACATAGTCAGTGTCTGCAATGACTCACAAGGGAAGCGTGAGAACACTCACAAGCCAGGCTGATGTCCCAGTTCTTCTGTGCTGTGGATGGGATCTGTATGGACTGTGTGTAGCACAGGGTACCTGGTCTGAGGTGCTATTGGGAGGTGGTGGGATGTTTAGGAGGTGGGGCCTACTAGGAGGAAGTGAGGTCACTGGGGGTGTGGCCTTGCAGGGGATATGGGGACCCAGGCCACTTCCTGTTTCTCACTTTACTTCCTGCCCACTGTGAAGTGAGCAGCTCTTTCCACATGTGCTCTTGCCACTGTACCTCCTCCTCAAACAAAACAGGTCAACTGACTGTGCTGAAACCTCACTAACTGTAAACCCAAATGGATCTTTGCTCTTTTCAGGCTGAGTTATCTCAGATGTTTATCAAAGCAATGGAAAGCTGACTAACTCAGTCTCTGAAACAAGATTCAAGGATTTAAGTTCACAACTCTTTCTCAACCCAGGGCTGCTAGGTGCAGCCAGGCAGGCTGTGCACTGCCCAAGAAATGGTGCCTCCATAATCCCCACATGCTGGTAGACAGTGCTCATGCCTATCCTCCCACCCCGTGTGTACTGCAGAGTTTTTGTTTTTGTTTTTAAGTCCTCAGTTTGGCTCATGGAGAAGTTCTAGACAGTTACTGGAATGATCACGAAGGGTTTTACTTACAGTTAAAGCATAGTCTTCTTTCTTAATCTCTGATTTCTTCCATTTATTTCTTTTTGGAGCCTCTGTCACCAGTTCTGAGTACGATACTTCAAAGGACAGCTCCTCAGCCTCTGCTGGAATGTTCTTTTCCAGATAGTCATCGTCTCAAAAAACAAAGGCGTAGGGTATCTATCGAATATGCCACTCAGCCAACACCATTTACCATAAAAAGCCACAAAGAGCTCCCCAGGTGACGCACAAGCACGTGGACGTTTACTTCTGGAGACAAACATTAGCTCCCCCAGGCGCTCAGTCAGGCAACGACACAGTGAGATCCAATTTGACGTGAATGCATTTCTATCAGCAGCCAAGCAAACTCCCCATTTTGTCTGAGTTTTTAAATGTTACATTTTTATGTCTCAGAAAGTTTGCTGCTGAGAATGATTCGGAGCCAAAGCCCCTGAACCCAGTACTTCTATATATTATTGTTATTAACTAAGCTCCATTAGACTTGGTGTTATTGTTCGTGGGGACCAAGAGGAAGGAAGGGGAGGTCCTGCTAACATTCCTCTCTACTTTATTCTTTTGTGTTCCGCCCCCACAACTGTGAGATATTTGCTTCTTAAGATTTGTCTCCATTCAATTTAGACGCTCCTGCAAGTGTGTCCAGGGGAATTAATGGGAACTGCTGAGATGTGACACTCGTCCCGACTTGCAGGACACGTTAGGAAAAGTGGAGGGGGCCTCCCAGAAGCACTTCTCTTTGCCTAGTCTGAAAATTACAGAGGATGCAGACCTTTGACCAAAACCAAGGGGATTCATAAAGTATTTGAGCAAACTCCTCTCTGATTTCTGCTTTTGGCTTGTCACTTTGCTCATATGCAAAGTAAATAATTACTTGTATTTTTATTTTTACTGGTTCATGTTTGCAGCACAGAATGACTACAGTAAGAATTTGGAAAGTGGCAAAGGCAGGGCTATCCTTTCTTACTTGGAATACAGAGGCCTGCCCTCAAAGCAGATGAAGGAACATTATAAATAGTAGGTAACTTCTCATGGACCTACGCCCAGGTTCTATGCAGACCAGAGGTTAAACGGGCAATGTTCCTGACCACAGGATCATGGCTGTCCTTTAACAGCAAGATCTGAGTGCATCTCCATACAGCAGCACGCAGAAGGGCGTGGAGTAACTTCTAGAGAGTCTCCTCTGTTGTCCTGTTTCCTGGTGTTAACTCTGCTGTGATGCAGTTCACATATATGCAATTTACTGTTTAGTCTAAGCGCACAACTGGTGGTGTTTGGTATATTCAGTTGGGCAGCCGTCACCCTAATGGATTTCAGAAACTTCCCATCAGCTCAGCTGCTGATTTTTTTTTTTTTTGCACCAGGGATCGAACTCATGACCTTGTGCTTACGAAGCAGGCAGTGGCAGCACTGAGCTAAACCCCTGGCCCTCAGCTGCTGATTTTTGATGTGGCTGCTGGGTGTACAGACACGGAGGAACAATGCCTGCAAGGAGTGTGCACAAATGTGGGGAAAGTGAAGGAGCACAGAGGTGCGCTTTGCGGGATCTGGCCTACGGGAAGGGTGCGATCCCATTCTAAGCCTGTCCAGGGAGCCCTCCTGTTCCCGGAGGGGCCCAGACACAAGCTGGCCCTGTCCCTCACTGTCGTGGATGATCTCGTGTGACAGAGCAGGTTGTCTGGGTGAGTGGGAAAATGGGTGCTTGGGGCCATGGACTCATAACGGGGAGAAAAACACACTTAGGGTTTGCTTTGAGAAGTTCACTCCTGGGAGGAAGGAGGGTGGTCACGGGTAGTGGAGCGGGGTACTGTACCCAGTTACACAGGTAGGAGTTCCCGGGTCCCACCGCGCTGGAGCGTTTCCATGACAGCGATGATGCACACAGGCTGGGGGAAAGGCTTGAATGGGCCTTGCCATAAAGAAATGATACGCAGGGCAGAGAAGGCCAACCCGACGCATGCATCACACAGCGTCCGCCTGTGCTACACCGGCATGTGCCCCACTGATAGGGGCATGTTGATGTTTTATGTACCAGTTTAAAATATATCGGGCCAGGAATTTGGCTCAGTGGTCCCGCTGCCTGCCTGACAAACGCAAGGGTCTGAGTTTAATCCCTGGTACCCAAACCCAAACCAAACCAAAATAAAACCAAAACAAACAAACATACATACATATATATTAAAACAAACTACACCAAAGACACTTCCTGCCACTGTGTTGGGTGCCAGGTCAGCAGCCAGAAGGCAGTGCGCACACAGCGGCAGTCACACACTTACCACTCAGCGTACCCGGGACCTCCTGGCTCGGCTCTGCGGATCCGTTGGTGTGGACGGGAACATCCGGGATGGCCTCCAGGATCGACTGCCAGGCAAGGAGATGAGCACACGGCAGTTTACCAAGTGCAGCCTGCCGCCCACTGTGGTCTGACCTCTACTGCGCAAGGCAGGGGCTCCGCTCTCAAGGAAACCCATTCCTTAATTGCATAGGTGGCCTCTACTGATTCCCTGTTTCTGCATTCAGTTGAGACAGGGAGAGCTCCTGGGGTTCTCACAAGGGAACTACATCCGGGTTGGTGTAGCTGAGCCTTCGTAGTGCTTAAGTATTTCCTGGCATACATTTGGTAAGCTGCACAAGTGACAGTGCTTGATGTCACATCATTTGATAATTATATCATCTGTTAAACTAGATGCATATTCTCTTAATGATACTAATATTAACCACAGTCCCTCGGTGCAACCTGCAGAATGACAATAACTAACACAAATGATCTCTCCTAATTTAGCTCCCTTCTTCATTATCTTTCAGGTCTCATCTGTGGAATCCTGCCCAAGCACGGAACACGCTGCCCTCGCATTACAAGCCAAGCGTCTCTCTAGACTCCTGCATGGTAACTCGGGATGGACATCAGTAAAGAAAACACAGAAATCCTACCCAGAGTTTTATAAGTAAGTTCTACAGATTTTACGGTGGGAGTTATCTGTGAATCGGTGTGACAATGAAATCCACAATTCCGGCAAGAATCTTTTATGCACTGTTCACATGAAAAGTCTGCTCATTTCCCCGCAGTGCCTGATGTGGTTTCTTTTTTTCTCATATTGATTTAGCAATGACTGAACACCTGCTTCATGACAGGTCTTTTATCCTGTGCTACAAATTGCAGGAGAAGCTCTCAGATACGGAGCCTCGTGTTCTCTTTTTATTCCTATCTTATTTCAAAGACGATGATACACTTTTGACTGTGTGAGCAGCATGCAAATAGATGGCCAATTATTAAAACATGAATACGCAAATACTGTTATGAGTGAAAGGAAAAACAAAATCCACTGGGGCCATGCTGCTCAGGGTCAATGGGACTTTTCACAGCTCCCAGGACCACCTATGCAGGTGTAGGCCTCAGCTTGGTGGAAGCCTTAACCACTGGGGCCGTGCCGTTGGAGGGAAGGAGCACTGCGACCCCAGCCTCTCTAATTCCTATTGTCTTTGCTTCTGGCTGCCCTGAGGGGAGCAGCCTGCCCCATCTTTCAGTCCACCATGATGCCCCGCCCCAGAGTAACTCGGCCAGCCCACCAGGGCCGGAAACCTCCTAAACTGTGAGTCGCAATAAACCTTTCCTCCCTATGTTCTGCTCATCTAAAGATTTTGTTACAGTAACAGAAAGCTGACTAACACACCCATGCAACAAAATCCTTCAAAGGAGTGGACAACTTTTCAGTGGCTTAAGTTTTCTCTGCAAAGAAATACTCGGTCAGACTTCCAGGGCACTGGCTGTGGGAAAGAAGACTCTTCTGAGAATTGAGACTGAATTGATTTAGCACGTAATGCTGAAGGTTTGGGATGCGAAGACCTACTGATGTCAGTCTCTTAATCGGTGAAGTGGAGAAGCATCGTGGTGTTGCTGGCCTGCAGGAGCCGACTGCACAGATGAGCAGCATTGTGTAACAGGAATTATGTGGGACAGAAGGCGGAGGATAATCCCTGCTCTTGAGCTACTTCCAATATGGAGAACAGAAGAGCATTTATGGCACAATGTTAAAAGATATGAAATCCACTGTTCAGAGCTAATTTCATAACACAGGCTGTGCTGGGTGTGTGGTGGTGGGGGGAGGCTGGCAAGGGAGAAGGGCTGCCCAGAGGGTGAAGTGTCTGCAGATGAAGTGGCTGAACTTGATTTTGACCTCAGGGATTTACAAAGGCACAGAACCCAAACGAAAGCACTTAGACTAGTTGGAGAGATACTGCAGGAATTCCAGGTATGGTGTATCTGAGGGAGGCACTCCAGCACGAAAGATCACGAGGATGCTGGAGTGCTAGGCGTTTGGTCATGGGATTAGAAAAATCTAAGAATTAAATTAATCAAGAGGTCCCTTGAACTCAAGGGAGGGGTTGAGAGCCAGGCGAGACACTGAGACCTAGGGTCATAAGGGGTAGAAGCAAAACAGGATAAGATGAAGGGGCACGCTCCTGTCAAGCAGGGGAATCGCATGGTGGAAATGAAGAGAGAGAGAGAGAGAGCAGGCCGCCTGCCAGTGCTCCACGTGCTTTGAAGCAAGAAGGCCTAGGCCCATGCTTAGTTTCTGCGGGGCTCCCGGTATCCACGGAGGAGGGGCTCCAGCAACTACGCAAAGGCCGCAAGTCTGCACACTCAGCTCCCTTCCAGAAGGTGGCGCTGTATTTGTGTATAACCTGCACGTGGCCTCAAAAGACTTCGGCTCCTCTCCAGAGGACTTAAAATCCCGAATGCAATGTAAGTGCTACACAAGCAGCTGTTGCACAGCATCATTTTGGGGAATAATGACAAAGAAAAAAGACTATGTATTCAGCAGAGATAACAAACTAAAAAGTATTTTTGGTCTGCAGGGGGTAAATCCGCAGTTGGATCCACTCACTTCAATAGAGGGTGGGTGGTCATTTGATATAATGCAACCTCGATTCCAGACTAAACATGCAGAAACCTACAACATGGTGAAACATTAGAAGAAAAGTCCTATTGAGATGTCTTTTAGGGGTAGCTGTAACCTTTTCCCAAGTTCACGTGCAAGAAACAATTTTTAAGAAGAGAGAAAGGAAACTGATGTGGATTTTGGTAAGAGTGAGCTGATCCTGACAGATTTCGAAAACCAGCCCCAGAGACCGGCCCTACACCTGTGGGGATTTCACCTATCACAAAGGGGGCGTTTGAACAGGTAAAACAGGTTTAAGGTGGAAAAATACTACTGGTCAAGTCAAGGCTATTCTTTTGGGAAAGCTCAAGTTGGGTTATCTCCTTTCTGGCATCCCACACCACCAGGTCCAATAGGGCAAGGGGTTGAGGCTGGAGAAGTCCTGGCCGTGACGCTCAGGTGTCCCTGGGACTCACCCTGGCAGGAGAGAGTTACCTGTATCAGTGTTGTGGCCAACAGCCCCAAGCCCTGGACACCGTGTCACTAGAAGTCCAGCACCTCAAAGGGACAGCGGAACAGAACAAGTACAAGGGGTCAAGCCAGCATCTGTGCGCTGCTGTGGCTGCGAAGCAAAATGTTTAAGGACTCTAAAGAGAGATGGCCTGAGATCTGAATCCAAAGCAAGTCCAGTTTGAGACTGGTGCCGTCAGATGGGCCCACTACTGCTTTCCTGTCAGTGTTAGCCTGCCTGGTTTCCAGGAAAATAACAATGAATTCCGAGGAATTAATAAACCCAGGACAGCTCTCCGTGTAAGTGCCACCACGGCCGCCTTCCTGGTTTCACACCCACAAACTTTCAAGAATCCTTTTTGCCCACAATGTGTTCTCACTAAGGATTTGTTGAATGAACGATGAAACGAGCCAATGATGCGGAAAAGTTAGCAGCAAAGTATGAAAGGAAAAACATCGCCAGCAGCTGCCTTATTAGAAATACAATGGTGATCACTGGCTGCCACGGAAAAACCCCACAAAACAAGGCCCACCTGGCCCCTCGTCTTTGCACCACCAACACGCAAGGATCCTGCATCCTCTGCTCAGGGGTACACGGAACCCCAGCCCCCGTTCCGTGCTGCTGCTTCCACCGCCAGGTCCGGAGATGCGGGGAAGGGGAGAGGACGACGCCTGAGCTCTCGCGTTAACTACAGAGACGAAATCACTGCAGCGCTGGCGAGGAGGGCTCGGGGCTGCAACAGGCGGAGGATGGAGTGCCTGCCTTAGAAACGCGGCTAGAAGAAAGGAGTAGAAATACTCTACAGCCGTTTGTAGGCCAGAAACCCACAGGTGCCAGAGACTGGCAAGGAGAAGCAGGGGGCAGGCAGAGTTCCGGCCGGCAAGCGGATGAGTCTAAGGCAATCAGGTGCCACCAGCTGAGCCAGAAAATAAAGGCTCATAGACAAGGGCTTCAGAGCGGGAGCCCTTCGTCACTGGGATATAGAACCACTTCGTGGGACCTCATGTAGGGAACTCTTTTGCGGGTGGAGGCAGGTCTCGCTATATAGTCTAGGCTGGTGCTGAACTCACAATTAGCCTGGACTGGCCTGAAACTCATGCTGATCCTTCTGCCTCAGCCTCCCTAATGCTGGGATTATAAGTGTGTGCCACCATTTCCCGCTAATGCAGGGACCTGTTTCTTCCAATAATTGCAGGAGTTTGTGAACGACTTGTTTTCAGTAATAAAGACAGGGGCTTGAGGTGAGCTCTACAGGAGATGCTCTCACTGATTTTCATTCAACGCCGCCTTATGGGGGAGAGTAAAAGCTGGATTTGAAGCCGGGGTTAGACACGGGGTTTCCTCAGCACATCTATGCCATAACCTGCAGAGTGGCTAAGAAGCTACTCACTGGTAAGTCCCCCACATTGTTCTATTCTTTTCGCATGCTAAATACACAACAAAACAGCCCATAGTCCCAAATCTAGACACACCACCAGAAAGCTAATCCATGTAGGGCTTGCAGTGCGATTCCCCAGGTGGGAATAGGAGTGGCCGGGCAGGAAGGGTGGGTAACCTGCCTCACAGAAGGAGCGGGGATGGAGAAGTCGCCTCCCGGTTTCGCCTCCATTCCATCGGGGCATCTGCGGCCCTCCCTGGGTCCCTGCCTGTCTGCTGGGGGAGGCCACCATGTCCCTGCCAGAGACACCGGGCAGGCGGGGATTCTCAGGGCCCGGAGGGAAGGGATGGGAGGTTTAGATACAGAAACGCACTGGCTCCTGAGCCCGGAGGCCCCGCCTTCCTGGTTATCCTAGGCCAGGGGTCTGGCGACTCAGTCTCTGTGTAAGGCTGGCCTGCTGGGGTTCTGCTCCCCACTTCTCTCTGAGAAGTCACGACCTGGCTCCCTCCCACTCTCGGGCTCCTGGGCCACAGCCTTGCTCCTGCAGTTGTCCCTTGACTTACCGCTGGGCTGCTCCCAGGGTCTGCGAAGCTCCCCTCCTGCTCCCGGGACCCATTGCACAGAGCGGGGCTGTCTGGGGATGCACCTTGAGGCTATGGGGGGAGAGAAGAGCACACAGTTACCTGGGGACCCTGCACTGAGTCGCCCCACCTCCTCAGCACCATTCTGGGCTCTTCCGGAGAGTGGGTGTTAACACCTGTTTCCAGGACAGGGGGCATGGGACAAAGGTGGTTGGTGCACGGGCTGGACTGCCACCTTAGCTGAAGGCTCTCCTGACCTACCAGAGGTGGGCCGCACTGTGCCCAGGATAGGACCTTGGCTGGCAGCCTGCACACAGTGCTCACGGGCACTGTGGGGACAGCGGAGGGCGTAGACCAGCCCTGGTCGTGCCTGTGCTACAGGGCGTCCTGCAGCTGCCAGTCAGACCGCTGGCCACCGGTGTGCCTGTCTCCATGCACAGTAACAATTCCTGCCTTTGGGTTACAATGCAGCCGGAGGCAGACCTAACCCACCTTATCCCACCGCTCACTTACTCATTTTGTAGCAAGATCTGTTTTTTTTTTTTTTTTTTTTGGGGGG